CCGTGCATTTTTGAATGGGCGAGAAACCTTTTTTTCCCCTTGCATCCATTTTCCATTGGAAATATGGAAAACGGCCTTCCAAATCGCCAACAATACGTAAAAATAGTTCCTTCCTCATCCGGAACCGACGTCGAAACTTTACAGCGTAGACGGCGTCATCTGCAAAATAATCTTCTATAAGACGATCCTGTCCGGCTTCGTGATTTCTACGTAACGGCGACTTTCTTAGGTTAGGTCGTGCACGTAATGTTTCACCAAGTCGGTTTTCATAGTATGCAACCGTTTTCGCCATGACGGAATCGATAAACTTAGTCTCCTAAACTGTCGTCGAATCGGATGATGAAGATGATGACGTTTTGAGTAATATTTTTAAGAAAGAAATATAGAGAAATATAGATTATGGTTTAAAAAATGATAGAATGTGTGAGTATTTATAGATTATGAAAAGGAAAGGAAAAAAGAATATATATATATATATATATATATATATATATATATATATATATATATATATATATATATATATATATATATGTTAACGGCTATATAGCCGTTTGAGTATAAAAAAGAAAAAAAAAATTGGATGGCCAATAGTTGGAAGAGAGAGAGAGAGTGGGACTCTCTCCCCCCGGTCCATTCCCGCGGTTCCTTTCCCGCACCCATGGTGCGGTGTGCACAGGTGCGGGATCGGTCCCGCTCCTTCCCCGCTGAACCACTCCGTCTGGCCTTAGCTTGTTCCAATTGATTGTTGGTGCTACCGCGAACTCTCGTTTATGAAGGCCATCCCAATCGGTTGTTATACCGAATAAGCACCTCATGGGAAATGTTGGTTGGAAAGGTATAGAATGGGTGTAAGTTGGCAATTCCTCCTTGACCTTCATTAACATTTCTCCTAGGAGCCATATTCCTGCAAGAAAAATTATAGAAAAACAAAACCAACAACATAGCAACCTTTAAATATTAAGCAGAGCATAAAATAATTATGATTTCCAGTATTCACGTCGTGAGTTGTAGAACTCACGTCGTGAATATGGTGCGAATGCAATCGGTTATAATCCCAAAATTGAACCAATTTCCAAACAAATTAAGTGTAGATATCGCATATGGTTTTTGTCTAGTAACAATTTTAAGCACATATTAGGGACTTGCAAGATGAAATTCGAACATAACTATGAATAATTTCAAATTTTGAACTTATTATAACAAACCTTAACCCCTAAATCTAGTAAATCGGTCAAAAAAAGAATTAGGAACATAAATATTTACCTTAAATGAGTATTACTTAAGCAAGAAGATAGATGTGGTAAGAAAAAGTCGAAATCGAGTGTAGGAGGACCAAGGTTACGAGTTCACTTCGTAAGAATTGAATAATGGAAGTAAAATGAGTTCCTTGTTTCTTTAATCTATGTTCCCGTGAACTTCAAAGTTCACGTCGTGAGTCCTTAGGTGGGCTAAAAATTTGGGCCAATTAATGATACCACGAGGTGGGCTTTTGGGCCACGAGGTGGTGTCGAGGTTTTGCATAAAAATGTCTATTTTACTATAAATTTTTAAATTTGTGTTGCCCTTTAATTTTTAAGAACCCCACACTTGATTTTTTTAACCATTTCCAAAATAATTAAGATGATTAGTTGATTAATTATCCTAAAAACCAACTAAAAATGCAAAACTACACTAAATGCAAAAACCAAAAGAAATTCAAACCAGACTCGGGTTGCCTCCCGAGAAGCCTTTCTTTTTCTTGGAGTCATAAGCCAGACTCCGTTCCGCCTCACGTTGAATCTTTCGGAGTGTACATCACCAATTGCACATTTTGCTCTTTCCACCTACTTTTGTACGCCTGAACTCGTCTAAGATAAGCCTTTTTAGAATTTTCCTTTTTAGCCTTTGCATTACTTTCTTCGAGCTTTCTTTTAACCCCTTTATTCCCCTGAAGTTTATTTTCCACTTTTCCTCATTCTTTAGCTCTATGGGAACCATCTTTTCATCCAAAGTTAGTATTTTTTCCTTAAAAGTAACCCCGTCTTCATCACTTGATAAGTCTTCTCTTTCCTCACTCATCCAAGAAGTTGGATTTTTATAAGCAATTGCTTCGAAAACAAGTGGAACAGAAGCTCTTGGTTTGGTGCATTTAACTTGTTGAATTGACTTAATTTCTTCTTCCATAAGCTTCTCCAACTCTTCAAGTTCATTCTTTTAATAAATGTTGAAAACTTCACCTTGAACATTATTCTCGTGAAAACCATCTTCTACTCCAAAAGTAGCTTCGTCATCTCCAACTCTCAAAGTCAGCTTGAACTCACGAATGTCAACCAAGGCTCGAGTAGTATTTAGTAGAGGGTGACCAAGAATAATCGGAACATTTTTGTCTTCTTTCATGTACATTGCAACAAAGTCAATTGGAAAAACGGATTTCCTAATTTTTACCAAAATATCTTCTACAATGCCTTTAGGATACGTCACTGAACGGTTGACCATGTGAATTGTCATTCTTATAGCCTTCAAATCCGGAAGATTTAGCTTTTGATAAAACGAAAAAGGCATTAGATTTATGCTAGCTCCAGAATCAACTAAAACACAAGTCTTCAAATTGATCCCAAACTCACATGGAAGAGTGAGACGTCCAGAATATCCCATTTTCTTTGCTAACTCTCCCATAATCACCCTAGAACTCTGCTCACTAGGAATCACCTTGGAATTCTCTTCTAGTTGTTGACGAGTATTGATTAAATCTTGTATGAATTTGGCATATTCAGGAACTTTGGATAACGATTCAATAAAAGGGGTATTGATTGGAATACCCACTTGCTTCATAAACTTCAAATGTTCCTTCTCCAGTGGATGGATATTAGCTCGGGACGGAAACGGAAGCGGTGGACGATAAGCTTGCACATTGGCTGAATTTTTCTGTTCAGACCCTCCCCACGTTGTGAGCTTTAAAGGCTCACGTCGTGCGCTCCATGTTTCAGCCGAATTTTTCTCTTCGAGTTTCGACTTCTTTGGCCTTGGGCTGGACTGCTGTGGCTCCACTTCTAAAGCTTCTAAGAACTCAGAAATAGCATATTCTTCAGTTTCAATCACCATGCCATATGATTGAGTCTTTTTGTCGGGAAATTGTGGAGATAATCTGTCATTTACCAAAGTCGCTAGTTGACTAAGTTAGGCTTTGAGATTTGGATCGATGCTTGATGATTTCTTAATAATGCTTGCTGCTCAATCATCATAGCATGTTGATCTTTCATCATGGCTTGTTGATCCTTCATCATCAACCTTTGATCTTTTATTGCTGCATCTGGTTCATCATGTCTCTTTTCTTAAGCCTCCATAAAACGAGTTAGCATGGTCTCTAAGTCAACTTTCCTTTCAACTGGTGGGCTTATTTAATTAGCTGGGCAGGTTTAGTCTATTTTTAATTAGATACGTTGGGTTATTAAAATTAAACTTCATGTGTCGCACAACAAAGACAACATTAGTAGCGGGCAAACATTTCTTCTTCTCCATTTTTATCTTCATCCTCCTTTGAACACAACTGTTGGAATCGACAATCAAGATCAAAACAAGGTACAACTTCTTAGATCTTTTATGCTTCTCCATCTCTTCACCAATTCTATATAGCTTTCAACGATCTAGATTTTCTTTGGTGGATAAAGAGTAAGAAGATATCAGAAGTGATGGTGGAGATGATGTTGTCCAAGTTGATGATGATGATGATGTTTTGCTAGTTTTTAGTTTTTATGAATTATGATTAAGGATTACGAATTTAGGATCTAAGATGATACTTTTGTCTTTTTTATCTCCATGTCTTATGCCACTTTTAAAATTGATGCCTTATGCAATATAGGGTTTTTTAAGTATTCATAATTTTATATATAATTTCCATATGTTTCAATTTTTTAATACCGGGCGCTTCGTGTGCTCAAAGCGGGCGCTTTCGCTTAGCACTTAGCGCTTTTTATTCCAAAGCCTAAAGCGTTGTGGGACACTTTACGCTATTTAAAACCAAGAATATAGGTCTGTAGGCACTATAATTGGAAAAAGTAAGTGCTTGATCAACCTACACCCTACATTATATACATCCTCTCCATCTTTGCAAATCTCCATTATAAAAACGGAGAAACACTCCTATAAATCGTAGGAGCCGATCCCTATTTCTTGCAAAACGGAACTATGAGTCTCTGTAAACTTTGGTCGTTGATGGAGGGTGCTCCTACACACCCTCTGATCAACTTATTGGCCGGGTAACAGCACATACTTCATCCTTAAGATTTCCCATGGTGGAAACTTCGACAACGTCCGAGGACTTGGATTCAACCCAACTCTCATCTCCTATGTCGATTGGATAAACATCACTTATCTAGACGTGGATTTGCTAGAAAGGATTTCACATGCATTGGGACATGAAACCCGATGTAAGTGGTACTATCTCAACGATAACATGTTGTAAACTTGAGATGTTGCCGATTAATACCAAGAGTGGCATTCCTGCTTTCGTCGAGCATGTTATGAGGCATGACTTTCAATGTATCGAAGAGGTCTACGTTAAACATCTAAACCCGGTAGTGGGTCCCATATATTTCCCCGAAAATTTGATGAAATAGAAAAATTAGTGTATATTTTGGTGTCTACCAAAAAACTAAAGAAATTATTTGCATTTTGTGAACATCTGAGACATTTTTGTGAATAGTTTTAAAGATTCGACACATATAATTAGTTCAAAGATAGATGAGGTAACAAAAACATTTGATAAATATAATTAAATGGTTCATGGTATATTTTTTACAACCTTAAGCCTTGAAAAAAATAATTTATACCATATTTGACAACCTTCATCGCCGATGCACAAAATATGTGGTAACTATCAAAACCTTATACCAATAATAAGGTAAAAAAATATATGAAAAAACCATTCTCATTTATATATTTGTACATTTATCTTGCTACTCATCTGGCATTGTTGATGAGGGGACTTTTCTGTCACGCAGGGAGGGGCTCCTACTAAAATGGATGTTGGGTTGCCAGTCGATAAATTATTGTTGGAGGAAAATAATTCGTCAAAGTATGTCTTACTTACCCTTCTTTTGAAGTGCTAAAAGCAACAATAGAATTTAGAAAGAAATTATCAAAATGTTAAAACCATGAAATGATAATTACATATAGTCTCTAGTGTAGGAAAAGGAAAATAAATGCTTACATTTTTACAGGGAGGAAATCCAAGTAGTACTGGTATCAACCGGAAGCTTCAATCCTCCTACATTCATGCATTTACGCCTATTTGGTATGTGAGATGTGAAATTAATCACTATAATACTGTAGATTTTTAAAATATAATTAATGCTATATTTATTCCAGCAATAGAAGTATATCTGTATTAATTAGTTTTTTGTTTCATCATTCATGTCATAACTCAACTCTGTGTTACATACATGACTACAAATATAATTAATGCTATATATATATATATATATATATATATATATATATATATATATATATATATATATATATATATATATATATATATATATATATATATATATATATATATATATATATTTTGGGTGTATGCTCATTGTGATTATTTATTTATTTTTATCATGCTTAGAATTGGCAAGAGACGCACTTAACTCAAAAGGATTTCATGTTGTTGGAGGTTATATGTCGCCTGTAAATGATGCATACCAGAAAAAGGTATCATATCATATCAATTGAGTGATTGACAAATTGTTCATCATTCTTTTCTTTAAACAAATCATTATAATAATGTAGTAAAATTTATTAATTATAAATTTAATTTTTAGGGTCTCATACCCTCTGAACATCGTATTGAAATGTGCCAACTGGCTTGCAAAAGTTCCGACTTTGTAATGGTGGATGCCTGGGAGGTTAGTAATTAATTAATTAGTGGGAGGAGTAGAACAAATAATACATTTCTCTTTTGAAATTATTAAACATTGTTTCTTTATAATAGACTTGTTTATTTGGTAAAGGCTATCTGTAGTTTGTATTAACTATTTAATTAATTATCTGTTTTAGGCAAAACAAAGCTCATTTCAACGCTCATTGACTGTGTTGTCAAGAATCAGAAGCTTTTTTTGTGATAATGGGCTGATACCTAATGGTATGTATTAGAGTGCACCCTTACCCTTTTGTGATCAATCAAACTATCCTTTTCTTTATTTAGACTTTTTAGTTTAAAGTAGAATTTAAATAGAAGAAACTTTGCACTTTTTTTTTTTTTTGTTGTAATTGTAGAATCCCTAAAGGTGATGCTTGTTTGTGGCTCTGATCTACTAGAATCATTTGGCATTACTGGAGCTTGGATACCTGACCAGGTAAATAAGTAAAATGAATGCACTTTCACATGGATTCTACTTTTTATAATGGTTTTTCTTGAACATTTTTAGTAACAATTTAGTGGTCAAATTAGATATGAAGCAAAACCTATTTATTGAAATATGCCCATAAAGAACCACAAATTGTTTTCCTTTTCCTTTTAGGTGAGGAGTATATGCAGAGACTTTGGTGTAGTTTGTATCCGCAGAGAAGGTCAAGACATTGAGACAATCATCTCACGTGTTGACATCTTGACCGAATACAAGGTAACCAACACGGGCGTTTATGTCATTTCACCAATTTTACCATCATATTCTTGATTCTATCGATTTTTTGTATCTGAATCATGCAGAGTAGCATCCAAGTTGTTGATGAAATAGTACCAAACCGTATTAGCTCAACTTTAGTAAGGTAGCCACCAAAATCCTACATTATATATATATATATATATATATATATATATATATATATATATATATATATATATATATATAGGCCTAACATGAAGCTTAATTTTGTTTGTTTATGTGATTATAGAGATTGTGTTTCACGGGGTTTATCTGTGAAATATTTAACGTCAGATGAAGTTATTAGTTACATTAAACGAAACAAACTGTATATCAACCCCATTGCCTCACAACAACAAAGTTTGTAGCTAATGATATTTATAAAGGAATTATCCAATAAAACTGTCGACGATTATATTTTTGCTGTAATAAAAACCTCTGCTCAATTTATTTATGAGCCTTACTGAGTTCATGTATATCATTTTTGTAAATCGATATTTTTTAAATGTATGAGTAAATCGAGTGAAATAGACGTAAAGGAAAAAAAATAGAAACTTGAAAAGTGTTTGTTTAAATACTTACTTACAATGGTCGATGTTTTACTTTTAATAAAAATCTCTCATAATAGCAAGTTAGCAACTAAACTTTTTTAGATTATTGTTTCGTAAGTTTTTATCTAATTAACTAGCTAGTAACAGAAAAATGTGATAATACTATTTGTTCAAACTAAAATTTTAAAATGAGATAAAAGGACATTTATGTGTGGATACATTTTGATTTTTTCCGTCTTAGACCTTAATTTTGTTTCTCAAAAGACTCAACTTTTATTAGTTCTCTTTTATTTTAGCTTTTTAACCGGTTACCAATTAGTAAATTGAGTTTATTCCATATATTTTGCATTTTATTCCGTTTTAGATCTAATACATTTTTTGTTTTCAAAATAAACCAAACTTTAACACATTTCTTGTTATTTTATTAATGGAGTCGGTTACCAACATGTAATCCTGTATCACTCTAACTCACGTCCTAAGCATCGATCACCAATAAAAATAATTGATTTTAAACCCTAGGTCATGTTTCTGTTTCTTCTTTTTGTATACATGCTCCTCTAAAATTGTTTCATCTTGAAGCATAACATAAAGAAATGTTGAAATGAAATATTGTTTCATCTTGAAGCATAACATAAAGAAATGTTGAAATGAAATTACAATGAAATTACAATATTGTGAGGAAGAAGCTCTTTATTTATCTTTTGTCCTTACTCCTTAGGGTTTTTTTTTCACAAGATTGGGTATGTTTTCAAAGCTTGGCCTAATACTATTTTTACAAGGTCTGATGATATGTTTATTTTATGGAAAAATGACACATACGACCTATGAACTTTCTAGTGTTTACCATTTTAGTCACTTAACCTTTTTAGTGGTTTTATGAGGGAACAAAGTGTGTTGCAACCTAGCAATTTAGTCTCTTTTACTTATTATACCCGGTAACCATGCCACATCATCCCGATTTGACACATCATCGATTGACATGGCGAAATTGTATTTACGTCTCGGACCCAAACTACGTCGTTTTGGAATATGAAACGTAGAGTCCACAATCACACTACTCCACCCCCGCCTCCGTATAAAATGTTAAGCTTGTGCCCTAAAATGGCACAATTCGTAACCTGCTTATCCTAACTGCACCGTAAACTTCAATACCAATCGCAAAAATGATGCCTTCACGATCATCTCCAAATCACGGTTGGTCACCCAACTATAGTCGGCACATGGCTGAAAATGTCTCGAATGGAGTTACAAATGAAGACATGGCGATCAATATGTTGCAGACACAGTTGGAGGTGTCGCTTGTGAGGGTAGAGATTGCAAACAACCTTCGTGAACTACAACACAACATCACTAGAGAGTTGGACACCCTAAATCATGAAGTCGATGATGTTAGGGCAGTTCAACTTGATCTATCTAACATGGTTGCTGATTTGAAGAAGCATTTGTGTTCACTGCAAGCGTCGTATGTCAACATCGTTTTAGGTAAAAACAAGTGCAAGAAAGTGAAATAGGTTCTTGGGGTTTTTGTTGTTGCTATTGTGGGGGTGTTAACCTACAAGTTCTTAAAATGACACAAGAACTTCACGTTACAACATTTCAATCTTGGGTTTCTATTTTGTTTTGACGTGCATCTTGTTTATTCTCCTTATTAGTAATGCGTTTTGTTCCTTGTCTTTTGGTTTCTGGTTGTAGTATTTGGTGTCGTGCTTAGTGGTTTTGTGATCATGTTATTGTGATGATCAGTTTTTTGATGGTAGTCACAGGTGATGGTTCTCGTATGTACTTAGATAGAGGTGGAATTCCTGTTTTAACTTGTTTAATAGATGTGAAGATGTAGAAACCCATGAATGAAATGTTGGTTAAGTTAAAATGTTCATGTTATAAATCTAAATGTGCATGTGTCGTAAAGTAATACCCATATTTTTTGTTTATGTTCTTCCTGTGACCACATGACAAAGTCAAACATTTTAAACCATTAAACATGAACCCCAATGTTTGTGTGTGGGACATGGGACAAAAGAGAAGAATCTAATACCCAGATTTGTCGTTGCCTAAAACCTAGAAATGGAAAACAATGGAAAAGTGCTTTTTTGTTGTATTTCTGGTTGCCCACTTTGGATAATTGCCTGGAAGAAATGAAATACCCCTAATGAGTTAAATCAAATAATAAAGTAATGACCGAAATATCCATAATGGGTTAAGTCACATAAAAAATATTGATTGTAATACCCTGTTGACTTTAGTCAAATACAACATAATGACAGAAATACCCCTATTTCTTTTACTAATTAAAATGACACTGATACACCTAACGGGACTGTAAGTAGTTTAACTTCTTTGATTGACTAAAATACCCCTACTTTAATAATTACTTGAAATAACATACACCTATTGGATTAACTGATTCGAATGACTAAATTACCCCTAAACTAACATTCACATGCCCTCTTGAAACATTTGTAATGACTAAATTACCCCGTACACACTAATATAAATTAGATCATACATATTATAAATATATACATAATATAAATATATACATATTATAACATACATGAACATAACAAACATAAATTCCATTGTTCAATCCATATAAAGACACACAATTAAAACTGTAATTAATCTAACTCCATTGGCAATCCAACACTACTACCTTCACCTTCAACTCTTTTAGCAAGATTTAGTTTAAGAATTCTCTAAGAATTTTTCCTCTTTCTTGGTTGACCTATAGTATTGTAGCACCTGGTTCATGGTATGTATTCTTTTATTAATTCGTTATGATGTTTTGCATTTTGGCCTTGGACTCAGAAAGTTGAAGGACCAACTCGCCGAGTAGAAGCGGGATGAAACGCGGGGTTTAAGCAGTGGACTCGACGAGTTGGGTCCCGGACTCAGCGAGTAGGCCCTGTCTGGACAAAAACCCTAACACGAGGGTTTGCACCCTATTTAAACACCTTAACTCGGCCTCCTTCGTCCCATTTGCTCCCTGAAGACCCCCATAGCAAACCCTAGCCGTTATTGAAGCAATCTAAGGCATTTGGAGTGATTTTGGTGTTTTTGTGATCCGAGGAAGGAAGGAAAAGCTTGAAGGATCAAGAGGAGGCTAGAGGGATCCGATTTTGAGCATCATTTGCAGTCTACAGAAGGTATAAAGTCTATACCTTGTTTGTTCTTTTGATAGATCCCATTTTGTGGAGTTTTAGGGCTTTTCTAAGTCATTTTGGTCACCAACCATGATTGCAAGCATGGTTAAGGGTTGATGTTTCAGATCTAGGTTCTTAGAGGGGTTACAATGCAGAAAGGAGTGGCTCTTGCACTCAAAGGAAGACCCCATGCATTGTAAGAGGTTTTTTTAGGACCTTTTGAGCTCAAAGTCCCATGCAAGCACGTAAAGGTTGTAACTTTACGTGCTAGATCGATTGTAGAAGAATAGATCTATCTTTTGATTAAGGGTTGTACATAAGAAATCGAAGATTTAGTGAGAGGATGTGACCGACTCAACGAGTCCATCCTTGGACTCGGCGAGTCCAAGGTTTCTGTCTCATATCAGTTGAGGTTCAAAAGGACCCAGTTGAGTGTGGAAAGGTTTTAGGGGGGTCCCGGGAAGTGACCCAACGTTCTGGACTAAGCCATTGTTCTGGAAATTCATGGGACTTAGCGAGTGCATGAGCAGAATTGGCGAGTCCGAGGCAATCTCCTTAAGGATGAAGATGAACTCGACGAGTTGTTCATACAACTCGGCGAGTCAAGGACAGGACCTGTGTATCAGTTGAAGATGAACTCGACGAGTTGTTCATACAACTCGGCGAGTTGGATGAGGATTCAGTCGATGTTCATTAAGAAGGAAAACTCGTCGAGTCTTCGCCTAACTCGACGAGTAGAGACGGGTATAAGGACAAATGGAAGGATAGGGACTCAGCGAGCCAACTCGGTGAGTCAGGTCAACTAGAAGTTGACTTTGACTTTGATTTGGTCAGGGGTAAAATGGTCATTTTACCCTAAGAACAGTTAGTAGTGTATGACTAAGTGTTTTGTGGGAATTATAGTAGGAGGATTTCCGGAGCAGTAGCAGCAGCAGTCAGAGGATTCTCGCACAGGTTAGCAGCTACTATGAGGTGAGTTACCTTCCAGTAGCGGTGGGTCTACGGCCACAATGCCGGCCCACCAGTAGGAGTTGTATGTTAGATGATTGTCTTTGTGATATCATCTAGGTGCTACTACCTGATATGTTTATATGCTAGCATGATATGTTATATGTGATAGTGGTAGTAGGAGAGGAATAGTCCCCAAGTTTGGTTGTTAGGACCGAAGGGTAGTTCGGACACCCCAGATATGTCTGATAATATGTTTATGTTATGATACATGTGATAGTAGCAGTAAGGGGTGGAATAGTCCCCAAGGGTCGATTGTTAGGACTGACGGGTAGGTTAGCACCCTAGAATGGCTTGACATGGGTAGGTCAGCACCCCAGAATGGCTTGACATGGGTAGGTCAACACCCCATAATGGCTTGACGCGGAAATGTCGGCACCTCAGAATGGCCGTACCGGGTAGGTCGGGCACCCCAGAATTGTCGGGCAATATGTATGCTATGTGATTGTATAGTATGTGGTACGATAGGGGAACTCACTAAACTTCGTGCTTACAGTTTATAGTTTTGGTTTCAGGTACCTCTTCAACGAAAGGGAAGGAGCCGGTGCGGTAGTGGCACATCATACACACACTCTTTGTTTTCCGCACTATGAGTTATTCTGGGATTTGTACTCTGACATTATTATTTTTTTACGATTCGGTTTTCAGATACGAGACGTGTTTTTATTAAATGATATGATCGGATGATATTTTGTTACAAATGTTTTGAAAATCACTTAATCAAAAATGAAGTTTTTGGACGTGAAAATTGGGTCGTTACAAGTTGGTATCAGAGTCCTGGTTTGAGGGATTCGGACACACCTTCGGGGGTGTCTGGACTCAAACCAAGGGATTAAAAGACTTTTACAAGGAAAATGACTTTTTAAAAGCTAAGATAAAAGAGTTTTGAGAAGG